TCTCAAGTCTAAATGACGCCTTTGAGCAAAACTCAAATCGCCGGCTTATTTAAGGAATACCTCCTTTCTTCGCTAGTTGGTGAGAGGAGCATAGCGAAATTTGCGTGGTCAGACGAAAGAGCAGGCCTCATGTATTGAGTCTCGCCACGTTAAATAAGGCATCAATTCAATTCAATGAATGTCTCCCCCCCCTGCAAGTGATGTTAGTGATTTCCAACTTCTTATTTTCCCCCAAACATCGATGGATAAAAACATGGATGGTTTTGCGCCGTCATATTTTGTCCATGGACGTTTCGAGTGCTGGATGTTGTGTTGTGTCGCATCGCTGATGTGTGCGACGTGTGTTGGCAGGCGCGCAAGAGCAGCGCGGAGATCGAGCGCAACGACTCGGGCGTGGGCTCGGAGACGAGTAAGTCGAGCCGCAGCCGCTGGAGGCAGCACCAGCCGCCCGCGGTGCCGGCGCCCCCCGACGCCCAGCTGCTGTGCGAGGACTGCGAGCAGCGCGTGGAGCCGCAAGTCACAGACAGGTGTGTGCCCTCTTGCACTTCGTGTTGACCTTTCTTCTCTCTTTCTCCTTATGTGGACTCTGTTTGGGGGTCGGATTTTTGACTCCACACGCTTTACTCAGCCCAGTTTACCCGTAATTCATGCACGGATGATTGCAATTGAAATTATTAATTGAGAAAATTATGATCTATTTATTTGCTTTATTTACTCCATCATACTAAAAGAATAAAGAATAATATTTCCAGAAAAAAAGCAACGCATTCTAGCATATCCTCATAACCACACATAAGTGTCTACGGTACCAGCATGAGAATGCCTGATGAGCTAGTAACTCGTAATAAACACATACGCCAGATTGTCATTCAGAAGCAACACCTTAATATGGTAAAATGGTAATGGACACGTTTTAAGATTTTTTCTTATAAGTTAGTCGTGTAACGTCGAATCTATTCGGGAGTATTTCTTATTCCAACCGCATAAAAATCAAATTACTTCAAACCAAGAAAAAACAAATTAATGTAAAACTAAGCATAAATGGCAAATCTAAAAGGAGAAGTTCATCTGAATAATTTTCAGAGTTTTACAAAACATGATCGGGTCATAGAAGACACCAGAAAGGGTTTAAGGGATAAAAGGATACAGACTTCAACCATTGGAGATTCACCACCATGCAGTAGAAATTGGAAATTGAAATCACGGGACTTGGCCAGAGTAAATTACAAAATTAAAACATTGAGTTTTCCAATGTTTCGGAATAGTGTTGTTCGATCCTCAGAGCTCGTGATGAAAATAAAGAACCACAACACACTACAAATATACATATGTTTACATACATTATATAATACGTTATACATACACGAACACACAATAAACCATTGAAAAAACAATATATGTACAGAATGGTGAAGAAACTGTACCAACCGTACACTTAAACAAATTAAATTGAAACAAATGCTACCACCGGTAATTACATGTCTAAAACGGGCTTCGGAATTTTGTATTTTAAATCGCATTAATGATATAATTACAATTAACGTGCCAAATTTTGAATGTCAAATCGAAGGGAAATTGTACGAAAAAATACAATTCGGACAATTGGCATTTAAAGAAAAATTGTTGTACGGTATTTAATTAATATGAATTTTTTCATTAGAGTTGGAGTTATTCAAGAATTGAATTAGATATGTAACTATAACTTAGCTTGCCGGCGTTTCTAAATTTTATTGTTCTTCCATGTTCCTTTTGATAAAATAGCGAGAACAATAAAGTTCATCGACAACAAATTAAGTTATTTAACAACTGTTCATAGTAAATTCTAAATGAAATAATTACAGAATGGTCGTGAATTCAAGATTGTTATTTTGTGTGATCAGAAAAATTAGCTGGCTTCGTTAATAATTCCGTCGCTAATGTTTCCATGTAGATGTCAATGAGGCGTTGCAACTAATAACAAACTCATATTCTTGTAATATGGATTGTTTCCGTGTAACTTTATCAAGTATCTACACAAAAACGCTTAGTCTGCTGTTCAGGAAGAAATATAATAATAATAATAATAATAATAATAATAATAATAATAATAATAATAATAATAATAATATTTTTTTAAAAAATCACGTTAAATTTTATGTATCACGTAAAATATTAAAGTATCACGTACTGTATTGTGATATTTTTAAAAACTTCTAGAAGGAACAAAGATCGAGGAAGACATACGATGCTGAGTTCTACGTAAGACATCCTTCGACATACGGTGCTATAAGTCTCCGCGAGGCAGCAGCGAACCTTCGCAGTTTCCGAGGCTGCGGTGTGTGTCTGTGTGTGTAGACATGGAAGCGGCGCGTGTCGAGCCCGAACACAAGCAGGAACCCTCGCGCAGCCAGAGTGTTTGGCCCGTGGTCGGCGGCCGCAGGCACTTCCTGCGCTAGAGGCACTTCCTGGCCGCAGCTTCCCCCCTCCCTCCTCCCGTGTCAGAAGGGTTGCCTACGCGCAGGCGCACCGCAGCCTTGGCACGGATGCAGCGCCGCCGATTGCGCACAGTTTACCTCATCGAAACGGTCGCTTCCGCGCAAATATTACACGGTTTTCAAGCCGGTTGGTTGGTTGGTTGGTTGGTTGGTTGGTTGGTTGGTTGGTTGTTAGTGATTGGGTGCGCCCACTGGTCGGCGACGGATCTCGCCATCCAGCAGCGGAAACATACACTACACTTACGGGACTCATGACGCATTGTGTCATTAGTCCCGTAAGTGTAGTGTATGTTTTCATCGGGCGTTGGCGTTAATTTCACCGTGCTGTATGGCGAGATCTGTATGGCGTGCTGTATGGCCCTGACCTACCGTCGCCTAGCGTAGTTTTCCCCAACCAGGTATCTCCCACCAACGGGGCACCACCCCAGTCAGGGCAAGCTCTTAGCTCCTGGAGGGTCTCCCGGCATGTGTGGTAGTGTAGTGCATGTTAGTGCAAGTGTGTGCGTAAGGGGTGACGATAGAACAAGGAAGAGAAAGGAAAGATCGCACGCGGTCCGTGGCTCGTTTGTTACTGTGCTGCTCCGGCGTTCGCCTGGTATTGATCGGAGATACCACGGAAAACTACCGATCAGAGCGACCGGCCGATTGAATTCTCCTCCAAACTGCGGCAGAACTCGACGTGGCTATCGGGCTAGTGTCGGAAATCCTGCCACTGTCGGGACTTGAACTTAGGACCTCTCGGGCAGAGGCACTGCAGTGACTTCACTTGATGCTCTGAGCAACCTCTTCCGGTGTGGATTCAGGAAGCGTTTCATGCGGAGCGATGCCGTTAAAGACACAACACCAAACATTACTCGTATGCTCAAAACTAAAAGAAACAGCCTTCGCGAACATGTTTCGTGTTAGGCAAACTTGACATGAGTACGTGAAACTGCTGCAGTCGCAGCTGCTTCGCCGTATGTCCCAGAAAAGCTGGGATTTTTCTCGGCTTGGTGTAGAGAGTTTTACGCAAACTGACTAATATTCAATGCAATGATCAAAATCATCCCTGGGTAAATACTTCAAAAATTAAAAGTAACAATAAATATAGATGTTTCAAGATTAATGTATGATTCAGTGAAGACGAATTATCGAAGTGATAACAGAAACTTTACTAGTATTTGTATCGAAGAAATAAATTGGTATTTATTCAATCGAAGTGGATTTCGATATCGAAAAACGTCCCATCGTAGCTGTTATGCATACAATATTTTGAAAACTAGCAACTCCGACCTGCTTTGCAATTTGCAATGAAGCGATCATTAATTTTTATATAGTTACGGATAATCTCCTATGAGCGCCGTTGCAACAGAAGTCTCCCAAGCCAACTGCTAGTAGGGTATTTGTTTATTGTGTTGGTGTAATACGCTTGCTTTTGCGGCTAGGCTTTAAATGTGAAACTTTCTTGCTGTAAATTGTTCGTGAAATTCAACTGTAAATATGAGCGTGAAAAGAAAGAACATTATGGATGTCTTTGTTAAGTAATTAGTATTCAACTGTTTTTGGAAACAGTTTGTTCTTAACACGTAAATGTTTGTGATTAAAATATTAATAATTGCGATGCGCAAAAATGCAATATTTTATTTTCCGAATACATTCTCGAAAATAACTTGGTTGTGATCTCTGGTCATGGTATTTTCAGTGAAAATGTAAGATAAATTGGTCTACGTAAATTGACTGTTGTAATTTATAACAAGCCACAAGCAATACATTCAGTTGAACTTACGAAACTGTCTACTGCCTTAGAAAACGCACGGAGAAGAAATAGTATTCCTTAAAATTATAACAAACGTTCTTATCATTCTACCATTTCAATTACATAGCCATTTTATTTGTTCTTCAAACTTTTAAAGAAAACGACACTAAACGTGGAATAATACAACATTTTCTTTATATAGAGTTCACTATTGCATTGCATCTATGGAATGATTGTGCTAGCTTTGTCTTCCTGTGTTTATTGTGTCGTCCTGAATCAGAGAAGGCTGTTAAATCCGCGGCAATGTAGCAACTACAGTATAAATTGTAGTCAATTACAACTGAGCACCTACATTCTGTCTTGTCACTAATAATTTTAAATATTAAGGGAAATGGTAAACATCAAACTTATTCATGACGAAATTTAGTTCGAAAATAAAACGTATAACTTGGGGGAAAAACAGACAAAAACAATTTTTTTAAGAATACCCTGACATTTCCGGTAACGTAATGAAAGCGACAAATACATGAGTAATTATATTTACTCTTGAAAAATAAAATACCTCTCCATACAGATCTTATCACTTTTTAAATTATAAACAATTTTATTCACATTGACGATGCTCAGTAGTATACGTATACAATATCACTGTATTACTTATTACTTAAATTACGGGCAATTCATTTATTAAATGACTATTATACAATCGATTATCTTGTATAAAAGTATTGCAAACGGACGTTCTGTATAAAATACAAAAATAATTAAGAAGTGTAGATAGTGTGTAGCGAATGTTGCGCCCTGTGCAGAACACTCGTTGGCTGAAGACAAATGCTGGACGTTGTCTGTGAGATGCCGTGACCTTCAAATCCTGGGCTCGTGCTTTCCGGCGATAATGACTCGGGCGAGGGCTCAAAGAGGGTGCGGACCTACCTGCGGGGAACAAAAAATGGCCCTCGTTCCCGCGTGATCACCAGGTCAAACGAAGGTGCCCGGGAAGGGCCGCCGAGACCCCCTAAGGGCAGGGGCAAAAGTCAAGTGGAGCCCCCCCCCCAAAAAAAAAAAATTGGAGGGAAGCGGTGAAGTATAATTAACCCTAAACAGAATTAAAACGTAATACGATCAATTTAAAATGTTTGAAGTCACTTTCACCTTCTTCTTTTACCCACCGTAGATCAACGTTATTATTCTGGATAAATAATAACGTTAATCGATGGCTACCATTTCTTCGGCCGCAATATTTCTTCATGATGCAATCTCATGTTTCATGAACATCCAATATTGACCTTGGTATTTCAACTGGAATTCAAAAGTTACTGTGAAATTTAAATCTCTACTGCATTTATTCAGTGGTTATCTTTCTTAAATCTGCTTTTGAATGTAAGTACGTTAGATTACGATTGATTTATGTAATTTTAATAAATGCTATAAAAATGTTTGGTTTTCAACTGAAATGTAATTAAGCCATTGTAGCTATTAATTCGCAGACTCAAAGTTCCATTAATATATTTAGTTTTAATGAATGGGTTCTGTTCAAATGTAAGCCAAATTTTACAGTATCGATGTTAATTTTTTCAGATCGTTTATAATGCTTGTATACAAAAAATAAATAAGTGAATGGCGAGTGTGTGCGTTTGCTTGCAGCAGGCTGGTGTTCGCGCCGCTGGTGTGCCGCAAGTGCATTGTTTGGCCTTGGTCACATTTAAAAAAACATAAAAAGTTGACATGCGAAGAATCGATAGTGGTTTATTTACCTTACCCCCGACTTATCTCTTCATAGAATTGGCTGAATGTGTGGTGGCGCAATCATTTGATCCGTGGAATTGGCTGTATGTGTGTTGATGCAATCATTCGTGCCGTCAAATTTAATACATCATTTGTGCCGTAAAAGGCTCTTTTATGAAAGCAACAGAAAAGATCGTATGTAATGCTGTTGTACAAAGAGAAAATAAATGAATGACGTGTGGTTGCAGTGGGTTGGTGTTCGCGATGCTGGTGTGCCGCAAGTGCATTGTTTTGTTCATCGTCACTTTTTTTCAATAAACAGTTGACTTGCGATGAGTCAATGGTGGTTTATTTACGTTTCCAATTATGTTAAAATCCTTTGCTAATGAAATTTTTAAACATACAGGTTGTTACAAGTGCACTTGCACTTTATTGCAACTGAAAAGATCGTATGTAATGCTACTGTACAAAGAGAAAAATTAATGAATGACGTGTGGTTGCAGCGGGCTGGTGTTCGCGCCGCTGGTGTGCCGCAAGTGCATTGTTTTGTACATTGACATGTTTTTTTTTAAATAAAAAGTTGACTTGCGAAGAACCGATGGTGGTTTGTAATGGTGTTGTACAAAGAGAGAATAAACGAATGATGCCTGTGTGGTTGCAGCGGGCTGGTGTTCGCGCCGCTGGTGTGCCGCAAGTGCGGCAAGCGGCGCGCGGAGCGGCGCGAGATCATCGCCGAGATCGTGGAGACGGAGGAGAAGTACGCGCGCGACCTGCGCATCGTGCTGGACGAGTTCCGCCGGCCCATGGCCGTGGCCGGGCTGCTCTCGGCCGAGCAGCTGGCCGGCATCTTCCTCAACGCCGAGGAGCTGCTGGAGAACGCGCGCGCGCTCGCCGAGCGCCTGCGCGACTCGCTCGACATCGCGCTCGACCAGGGCGACGAGGACCTGCTCACCGTGGACGTCGGCCGGCTCTTCGTCGACGCCGCGCCCATGCTGCACGCCTTCGAGGCCTACTGCACACGACAGGTCACTCCCTGCACTGCTCTCAGCCCCGCGACACGCACGAAATCCAAATATATTAATAATAATAATAATAATAATAATAATAATAATAATAATAATAATAATAATAATAATAATAATAATAATAAAATTATACCGAGCGAAGTGTCTCAGTGCGTAGCACGCTGACTTCGTAATCGGGAGGTCCGGGTTCGATTGCCGGGCCGGCCTTCCTGACCGGGGTTTTCGTGGTTTCCCTCGGTCATAAGGCGAGTGCTGGGATGGTTCAAAAAGTCCACGATCACCTTTCACCAATATCCTATCACTTCCTAATCCATGATTGTCCCTTCGCCTATCATCAACCTATCATCTCATAATTCACACTTCAAGGCGTAACAACTTTGTCGTAATCCAAGGATACAGATGAAAAGCTGATCCTGGAAAAATTACACTCGTTAATCGTGTAGCGTGGTCAGTAATAGCCTATACGCCAATAATAATTACGATAATGATAATTATTATAATGATGATATTAATAATAATGATTAATAATAATAATTTTTTATTTAATCATATATTTCCAAAAGAATTACATTGACAGTGTACAAAAACCATCACCATAATAACAATAAGAAAGAATACCAATTTTGTTCCACTACATTACATATATTACATCCTGTTTAACCTTTCAGTAAAAATACTTATTTTAACTTTTAATTTAAGTCTTATTAGATTTAAATTTAAACATATTTATTCCTCAATATAATAATAATAATAATAATAATAATAATAATAATAATAATAATGATAGTAATAATTAATCTATAATGAGCATTACAGAACTACGAAACTTAAAATTGCAATTTTTGAGAAATCAGAAATTCGCACTCGTGTCACTTTTCTATTGGAGGTGCGCCGTGAAATAAGGCATTGACTAACATGCGATGGTGTGTATGTGTGCGCAGGGCGCAGCATCGCTGCTGCTCGCGCAACTGGAGAAGGAAAAAGAGCTGCTGCGCATCTTTCTGCGCGTGTCGCAGATGGAGAACGCCGTGCTGCGCAGGATGAACCTCAACTCTTTCCTCATGGTACGTGAGCGCGCGCGCAGCGAACGCCCTCACACCGCCTTACTTGGCCGTGCGTCGGCGATGCAATCGCGAGAACTTGGAATAAAACAGAGACATGTTGTTTTATCTTTGACGGGTTAACGTGAAATTGGGGGAAGATGAACTCAACTAATATTAAGGCTGCTACACACATTCGGTATTGGCCAACCAGCGAGCTACTGCTCGCCCAATCCCGAACAACTGATGTGTTCGGCGAATGTTCGCTCCCTTTGATGTGTTCTAAAGGCGGCTTCACACATTCAGCATTCGCCGAGCAGCGAGCTACTCCACGCCCGATCCCGCACAGCTGATGTGTTCGGCGAATGTTCTCTCCCTTTGATGTGTTCTAAAGGCGGCTCCACACATTCGGCATTAGCCGTGCAGCGAGCTACTGCTCGCCCAATCCCGAACAGTTAATGTGTTCGGCGAATGTTCGCTCCCTTTGATGTGTTCTAAATATGAACACGCGGCGAATACCGAATGTTAGGCGCTCGGCGAATCGCAAGCAACCCGTCAACATTACTCGGGATTCGGCGAGCGGTTGCTCGGAATTACCCGAATGCCACATATGTGGAGCCGCTTTACTTACGCAGGTCACTCCAAAAGTAATGAATATGCATTTTTTTTAGAAAAAATTCATTTCCTTTTCTACGTCTTTGCTCTTAACAGATTTTGTAGTATCATGCTTTTCCCTAGAATTCAAATTTAGTTCAGCCTGTTTCCTCGAGTGTTGCTCTTGTAGCACTCGTTTAATATGGATGCTGTTCTTCGGAAGCAACGTGTTGTGCGAACGAGACACTGACAAAAACACGAGAGATTAAAAAATGTGTAGGGAGATGATGCTGTTGATCACAGTACACTTAGTCGGTGGGATTCCAGATTATCTGGTGAATCGAATTCTCAGGATTTCCCGCGCAGAGTCGGAACGTTCTCTTAATCTTTTCCTGCAATTTGCAGCTCATTCACTACCTCATTTTGGCCGACAAGAGTAACTGTGAATGAATTGACAATGAAATTGGGTATAGGAGAAGTGAGAGTGGGCAGAATATTGAAAGAACTGCAATTGAAAAAGGTTTCTGTCAGGTGAATGTTCAGAAGGCTGCCAATCAGTGGCTCAGACGAGCTGACCTAAGATTATACAATGCGGTAATACATTGTCTTCTTCAAAGGTGTCGTAAGGCAGTAGAAAGAGATGGAGATTATGTCAACAAGAGACTCTTTGTTTCTCAAGGATAGATCAATATACTGTAAAAATAGCTAAGGTATGGAAAATAAATTGAATGTTTAAAAAATTGTAGCGCATTACTTTTGGGGTGACCCTCGTAGTTTCTTAAAATCTAATATGCTTGTTGCTAATAACATCTGTCTGGAACAAAGCGGGGGTGGACACCCACAACACTGTATATTTATTAACAGCCTGAAATTAATGTTCAGTATTGTTTTCTGGAAAGATAAAAAAGGATTGATGCAAATTCAGAACTAAATCACCATTTGCGATGGCTCAGTGGCAACATCATTGCAACTGCAATGTCTTTGAATGGAAGGTTTCAAGATTTCAGTCCCTACTGTTTGTTTCATTATGATACACTATTTAAATAGATATGTCCAATTCAATCTCTGTCTGGAAGAAATCCTTGTGCAAAGCTACTCTGATCTGTATTTCCCATGGTTTGTCTGAGCAATCCACTTAAAAGATGATTCAGAATTGCGGGGGATCTTTTCTTCCTAATCTTGTCCTCTCTTCTCTCCTTACACACCACCCCACACCACACACACACACACTAACACATGTTTTGGTTTTACAATACACACACACAGACTACACATACATATTTTACGCTACACACGTTTTACTCTACACATACATTAGGATGTCCTCTTATATGGGCGATTTTTTAAAAGAAATTGGTAGCACATACCCCTATGTATTTTATTATTAAAAGTTACTAATATGTATGCAAAATTTCAGCATTTTATAATGATGGGAACCCTTGCCGACTTGATTTCAAAATTTTGTTAGTAAATTTACTTTAGACAGGTTGTTAATTAAAGTTTAGTTTAATTAACCATTAACTCAGATATAAACTAAAATTCTCTTTTTAATGTTCCTTGTTTACAATAAAGATACATTTTTCTGTGATCTTACACACAATGCAGAAGAAATTGTTTTTGTTATTTCTGGGCAGATACCAGTCTGTGAAAATTTTGCATTAACTTAACAGCTCCTTCTGCGGTGTGTGTGTGTGTATATACATATATGTATACGTATATATATATATATATATATATATATATATATATATATATATATATATATATATATATATATATATATATACACACACACACACACACCGCAGAAGGATTTTTTAAAAAGTACAAATTTTGACTTTGTTCTATATTGTCTACATTACACCTAAGTCAATGTTTTACAGAGGATATCACATTGAACAATGAAACATTTTGCAAGACCCGTATGTCTTTAGCCCTGATTTTTTAATTGAGTTTGTAGTGAACATATTTTTGAAGAATATGTAGCCTATGCCATCCATCGTGCTTAGTGCATGGCACCAGAAATCCTGATCTTATGTTTCTTTTCAAGGTCTCCCAACAAATACATTATAAAAACAATCAGTGATTGTCTATATAAAATTATTGTTGGACAACGGTATACAATCAAACTCTCATTTCTTTACAATGGAAATACTTTGCTATCATCATATTTCACTAGAACATGTTTTGTGACTCAATATGACTACATCATCAGGTAGTCTGAAATTAACAAACAGATATAACAATTAAACTGTTTCTTTACTCATTAAATTTAAAGTAAAATTGCAAATGCAAATATAAGATTTAAAATTAGAATTCGAAATTTAAATGAGATCTCAAAACAGAATATAGTTTCTCTCAAACACAAAAAACATTTCTTGAGATTAAAAATTGACTACAAACAGATGAAAGCAAGAAATATAAGATAATGAAATAAAAACACAATTAGTATATAAATTTGAAAGTATTAAGCTATAGCCTAACTCAGAAAAAAGCAAACAAAAATAATTATATGAAAAACACTCATTTTAATTATCCAAATAAGAGACATGTTTACAGGTTGACTGCCATAATGGAATCAGATGTCCAAATAACGGGGTTGGAAGGTTAAAAGAATAGGAGTAAGCTTCCGTCTTTCATAAAGTTTTAATGAAATAATGAGGAAATAATAAAAAGATGCAGGAATACTATGTTAATTGATTAAAGAATGCATAACCCAATTTATCCAACGACTTGGAAGATAAATGATGTTGTAGGCTTCTGTGGCCAGTCATGATCTGGGCTGCCCGGGTGGTGGCACATCGAAGGCTGAGGTGCCAATGTTTACACCAACATGTCACGATCTTCTTCGGGGTTGTGGAGACTAATTAAGAAATACAAGAAGGGTTTTCCTATTAGACCTGTTGTGTTGTTTGGTACTCTCTAATATTAATTATACAAATTCTTAAACTATTCATTACAACCAGTCTTGAAAATTAATGGGAGTTGTGTGATAGAAAACAAATTTTGAAATATCAAGAATTCAGAAATCTCTGGTTGTACTCCTAGATCACAATATAATTTCATTTGATGCATAGCGGTGATTCCTGATTCCTAGTATTCCAAATCCACTTATATCGGGAACTTTAGAAGAATGTTGTTATAAACTACCAAATTTTTCATTTCATGTGGAGAAATTTTGTTTATGGTTAATTACTTATTAAATAACATTGAGTTATTGATGCTGTCATTACAAACTTTTAAGAAGGTACACCCATAAGTGGTTCGTTGAGTTTTTTATGTCCTAGTATTGTGATGAGCAAATTGGAAGGATCCATTCTATCAAGAAGAAATCTTATTTTTTTACAAAAGATTCGAAGATGATGT